GCCTTGTGCTTCTGACTCGGCTTTACTTCCTGTGTTTTCTTCCTGTTTATTTCTAACAGAGTCTATAACTATCGACCCCATTTTCTATTGATATCGAACACGTGTCTATCGCAATATATATCGTTAAAGGTTTTTCACAGGTGTTTAAAAATTGGATGGATTTGTTAGCTCCAACCATCTGTCATTTAACTGTGTCCAGCTTTATATGGCCAAAGGTTTTTTTATACTGTTGCTTCCGTGTTGTTTGGACCCATGTCGACTTTTCATCAACGAGAGAAAAAGTAAAAAAAAACCTTCAGACTTTCATAATACGTCGTCTAAAGTTAGCGGTGCACCAAGACCAGAGGGAATCACATTATAATAAAGTAATGTGGAGAGAGGCGGGTTAAAGGCCGGGTCGCACTCACACACCAGTCTATAACCCAAACCCAGTGTCTATAAATAAATCATAATATAGAATCAAGTGGGCGACAGTAGCTGCAGTTGGTAGAGCATTGGCCTTTGGAAGGTTGTGGGTTCAATCCCACCTCGACACCTTCTCCACCGACTCCCACTTACGTCTGCTGTCGTTGTGTCCTTGGGCAAGACACTTAACCTATCTCTGATTGCCACCCCCCCGACCCAGAAATGGATTAAGGGGTAGAAATGGATGGATGGATAGAATTAAGTATAAAATCTCTAACTAGCATAATAAAGAAGATCTATAACTTTAGCAAATGAAAGAAGCAGGTCTCCAGTCGCTCCGCGGCGCCCTGTGTAATCTCCCATCATCTCCTCTTCCTCCCGTCACGTCTGTCCTTCCGTGTGACTGATGCAGCTGTCAAAAACGACGACATTGGGATCCATGGGCTCGTAAACGCGTCGCATTGATTGATAATTGTTGTGATTGACGCGGCGGCGGGCTCTAATTGGAGACTTCTGGAGTTATCAAACTAATTAGCGGCGGTCTGTGCTCCACTCCTGCTTTCGACTTTGGATAAAAAAATGAAAAATCAGCTTTTGTCGAGTGTGGCGACGCCTGATTGACACGTGAGTGGATTGTGCGAAACTGAAACTGGAAAAATAACAAGTTTACAAAAATCCTCAAAGCGGTCGGCATGGTTTATTCATGGGAGAGTTAAAAGCGATGCTAGGTGCTTTTATATCGTTTTCAAAAGATTCTCGCTTTTTGCCAGAAGACATGACCACAGAGGTAAAAAAACACAAAAATCCAGTTCTAATGAGCAGCACAACCTCAGAAGCAGGTTGAGTGGTCTCGCTGTAATGGTGTGATTAGAATATATAATGGGGAAATTGTGTGTTTTTGTGCGTTTTATTGTTTATCTTCTCGGTTGAAAGTAGAAGTTGCGGTTGGTATCAGGCGCTGGAGTGTGCGGCTGAGTTGTAAAGGCAAACACTCGTTCTCGGAGACACATGAGTTTTAAAACTTTTTTGTTCCATGAATAATGTTATTGTCCGATCGAGAAGAATTGTGTAAAAATGTAAATGTTGACAATGAGAGCTTTCAGACAAAAACATGTGGATTTGGTCTTATTGGGAAATGACAGAAAGCAGCACCGCCTTTGTGCAGTTTGCATGTTATCCCCGTGTCTTGCCAGGTTTCCTCCAGGTGTTCCGGTTTCCTCCAGGTGCTTCAGTTTCAGCCAACCACAAACAAATAGTTCAGGGTCAATAATGTGATCTTTACCAAGCACAAATGTTAACAATAAAACAGAGAAATGATAATGATAACTTTTGTATGTTTGTAAGAAAGAGCCTGGGAGTTGTTGATCGCCACACAGCGCTGAGAGCTGATTGGCTGAGTGAATGTGGTCTTTTCTTACTTGTCTGAAAATGGCCCCTGAAATGATTTACGATTATTATTATTAACATGCAATCGCAGCTGCCATGGCGTGTTATTCCTCATTTTAAAGATAAGTTTAAGAAAACAACCATCATGTGTTTCAGTCTAAACATGTAATTACAAAGTGTTAGTTTAAACATATAAATCAGCCGCCCATTCTTTGACTCTGCCCCAGTTTTGGTTCAGTCTAACACACAAAATAATCCAAACTCAGGTTAAAACAGTCAAAATACCTTCATAAAGGTGAAACTTTACAAATATTCACAGATGCAAAGATTATTTTCCAACACTTTTTTTATTTGCGGCCCCCGGGAACTGTTATTGTTGAACTCCAGCCCCCGACCAAAATGAGTGTGACACCTCTTCCATCGGATTAAATCTGGCTGCGGTGATTTCTGAGCTTCAAAATGAGGAACATTTTAATTATTTATTAGTTTCAATCATCCAACAATATAAAATAAACAAATGGCTCGGTCAATTACAGACGTCCATCCTTTGTATGTGACAGATCTCTCTCTTGAACACACACCAGAGAGGTCCTTCTTCTTCACTCCACCTTGAACACACACCAGAGAGGCCCTTCTTCTTCACTCCACCATGAACACACACCAGAGAGGTCCTTCTTCTTCACTCCACCATGAACACACACCAGAGAGGTCCTTCTACTTCACTCCACCATGAACACACACCAGAGAGGTCCTTCTTCTTCACTCCACCTTGAACACACACCAGAGAGGTCCTTCTTCTTCACTCCACCATGAACACACACCAGAGAGGTCCTTCTACTTCACTCCACCATGAACACACACCAGAGAGGTCCTTCTTCTTCACTCCACCTTGAACACACACCAGAGAGGCCCTTCTTCTTCACTCCACCATGAACACACACCAGAGAGGTCCTTCTTCTTCACTCCACCATGAACACACACCAGAGAGGTCCTTCTTCTTCACTCCACCATGAACACACACCAGAGAGGTCCTTCTTCTTCACTCCACCTTGAACACACACCAGAGAGGCCCTTCTTCTTCACTCCACCATGAACACACACCAGAGAGGCCCTTCTTCTTCACTCCACCATGAACACACACCAGAGAGGTCCTTCTTCTTCACTCCACCATGAACACACACCAGAGAGGTCCTTCTTCTTCACTCCACCATGAACACACACCAGAGAGGTCCTTCTTCTTCACTCCACCATGAACACACACCAGAGAGGTCCTTCTTCTTCACTCCACCATGAACACACACCAGAGAGGTCCTTCTACTTCACTCCACCATGAACACACACCAGAGAGGTCCTTCTTCTTCACTCCACCATGAACACACACCAGAGAGGCCCTTCTTCTTCACTCCACCATGAACACACACCAGAGAGGTCCTTCTTCTTCACTCCACCATGAACACACACCAGAGAGGTCCTTCTTCTTCACTCCACCATGAACACACACCAGAGAGGTCCTTCTTCTTCACTCCACCATGAACACACACCAGAGAGGTCCTTCTTCTTCACTCCACCATGAACACACACCAGAGAGGTCCTTCTACTTCACTCCACCATGAACACACACCAGAGAGGTCCTTCTACTTCACTCCACCATGAACACACACCAGAGAGGTCCTTCTACTTCACTCCACCATGAACACACACCAGAGAGGTCCTTCTACTTCACTCCACCATGAACACACACCAGAGAGGTCCTTCTTCTTCACTCCACCATGAACACACACCAGAGAGGTCCTTCTTCTTCACTCCACCATGAACACACACCAGAGAGGTCCTTCTTCTTCACTCCACCATGAACACACACCAGAGAGGTCCTTCTTCTTCACTCCACCATGAACACACACCAGAGAGGTCCTTCTTCTTCACTCCACCATGAACACACACCAGAGAGGTCCTTCTTCTTCACTCCACCATGAACACACACCAGAGAGGTCCTTCTACTTCACTCCACCATGAACACACACCAGAGAGGTCCTTCTACTTCACTCCACCATGAACACACACCAGAGAGGTCCTTCTACTTCACTCCACCATGAACACACACCAGAGAGGTCCTTCTACTTCACTCCACCATGAACACACACCAGAGAGGTCCTTCTTCTTCACTCCACCATGAACACACACCAGAGAGGTCCTTCTTCTTCACTCCACCATGAACACACACCAGAGAGGTCCTTCTTCTTCACTCCACCATGAACACACACCAGAGAGGTCCTTCTTCTTCACTCCACCATGAACACACACCAGAGAGGTCCTTCTTCTTCACTCCACCATGAACACACACCAGAGAGGTCCTTCTTCTTCACTCCACCATGAACACACACCAGAGAGGTCCTTCTTCTTCACTCCACCATGAACACACACCAGAGAGGTCCTTCTTCTTCACTCCACCATGAACACACACCAGAGAGGTCCTTCTTCTTCACTCCACCATGAACACACACCAGAGAGGTCCTTCTTCTTCACTCCACCATGAACACACACCAGAGAGGTCCTTCTTCTTCACTCCACCATGAACACACACCAGAGAGGTCCTTCTTCTTCACTCCACCATGAACACACACCAGAGAGGTCCTTCTTCTTCACTCCACCATGAACACACACCAGAGAGGTCCTTCTTCTTCACTCCACCATGAACACACACCAGAGAGGTCCTTCTTCTTCACTCCACCATGAACACACACCAGAGAGGTCCTTCTTCTTCACTCCACCATGAACACACACCAGAGAGGTCCTTCTTCTTCACTCCACCATGAACACACACCAGAGAGGTCCTTCTTCTTCACTCCACCATGAACACACACCAGAGAGGTCCTTCTTCTTCACTCCACCATGAACACACACCAGAGAGGTCCTTCTACTTCACTCCACCATGAACACACACCAGAGAGGTCCTTCTACTTCACTCCACCATGAACACACACCAGAGAGGTCCTTCTACTTCACTCCACCATGAACACTTATCATGGATAATGTGTGTTTGTACATTTCTCCAGAGTCAGATCCATAAAGTCTCATCTTAAGGTAGTATTACTTTAATATTGGGTCTTATTTGCTGGAGTCGCCTTTGCCTCAGTCACACTCTCTCTTCTCCCGACTTAAAACCATCTCCTCCTTGTTGCATGTTACACACAGATAAATCTCACTGACCTATGACCCCTCAGATCATCAACACATGGCTGAGAACTGAGCACGCTCGGCGGACGCTCGGCGGACGCTCGGCGGACGCTCGGCGGACGCTCGGCGGACGCTCGGCGGACGCTCGGCGGACGCTCGGCGGACGCTCGGCGGACGCTGTGGGCCGCGACCTTTTCTGAAACCACCGTTCAATTCATTTGATCCATGTTTCTGAGTCAAAGGCTGAGCACTAACCTTTTCCCAGCGACATGGCCCCGAGGGGGGGGGGGGGGGGGTGACAGAGACGGCCTATCAGGGGCTGCTGCCGTGGGGGGAGAGGGAGCAGCAGACGACAGACGGGCTCCATCCTCAGGTCATGCTCGACATCAGTGTGTGTCACTGTAGTGTGTGTTACTGCAGTGTGTGTCACTGTAGTGTGTGTTACTGTAGTGTGTGTCACTGTAGTGTGTGTCACTGTAGTGTGTGTCACTGTAGTGTGTGTTACTGCAGTGTGTGTTACTGTAGTGTGTGTCACTGTAGTGTGTGTCACTGTAGTGTGTGTCACTGTAGTGTGTGTCACTGTAGTGTGTGTCACTGTAGTGTGTGTCACTGTAGTGTGTGTTACTGTAGTGTGTGTTACTGTAGTGTGTGTTACTGTAGTGTGTGTTACTGTAGTGTGTGTCGCTGTAGTGTGTGTCACTGTAGTGTGTGTCACTGTAGTGTGTGTCACTGTAGTGTGTGTCACTGTAGTGTGTGTTACTGTAGTGTGTGTTACTGTAGTGTGTGTTACTGTAATGTGTGTTACTGTAGTGTGTGTCACTGTAGTGTGTGTCACTGTAGTGTGTGTCACTGTAGTGTGTGTCACTGTAGTGTGTGTTACTGTAGTGTGTGTTACTGTAGTGTGTGTCACTGTAGTGTGTGTCGCTGTAGTGTGTGTTACTGCAGTGTGTGTTACTGTAGTGTGTGTTACTGTAGTGTGTGTTACTGTAGTGTGTGTCACTGTAGTGAGTGTCACTGTAGTGTGTGTCACTGTAGTGTGTGTTACTGTAGTGTGTGTCGCTGTAGTGTGTGTTACTGTAGTGTGTGTTACTGAAGTGTGTGTTACTGTAGTGTGTGTTACTGTAGTGTGTGTTACTGTAGTGTGTGTCGCTGTAGTGTGTGTTACTGCAGTGTGTGTTACTGTGGTGTGTGTTACTGTAGTGTGTGTTACTGTAGTGTGTGTTACTGTAGTGTGTGTTACTGTAGTGTGTGTCGCTGTAGTGTGTGTTACTGCAGTGTGTGTTACTGTGGTGTGTGTTACTGTAGTGTGTGTTACTGTAGTGTGTGTTACTGTGGTGTGTGTTACTGTAGTGTGTGTGTTACTGTAGTGTGTGTTACTGTAGTGTGTGTTACTGTAGTGTGTGTTACTGTAGTGTGTGTCGCTGTAGTGTCTGTTACTGCAGTGTGTGTTACTGCAGTGTGTGTTACTGTAGTGTGTGTCACTGTAGTGTGTGTTACTGTAGTGTGTGTTACTGTAGTGTGTGTCACTGTAGTGTGTGTTACTGTAGTGTGTGTCACTGTAGTGTGTGTCACTGCAGTGTGTGCTACTGTAGTGTTTGTTACTGCAGTGTGTGTCACTGTAGTGTGTGTCACTGTAGTGTGTGTCACTGTAGTGTGTGTCACTGTAGTGTGTGTCACTGCAGTGTGTGTTACTGCAGTGTGTGTTACTGTAGTGTGTGTCACTGCAGTGTGTGTCACTGTAGTGTGTGTCACTGTAGTCGTGTGTGTCACTGTAGTGTATGTTACTGTAGTGTGTGTCACTGTAGTCGTGTGTGTCACTGTAGTGTGTGTTACTGTAGTGTCACTGTAGTGTGTGTCACTGTAGTGTGTGTTACTGTAGTGTCACTGTAGTGTGTGTCACTGTAGTGTGTGTTACTGTAGTGTGTGTTACTGTAGTGTGTGTCACTGTAGTGTGTGTCACTGTAGTGTGTGTCACTGTAGTGTGTGTCACTGTAGTGTGTGTTACTGCAGTGTGTGTTACTGTAGTGTGTGTTACTGTAGTGTGTGTCACTGTAGTGTGTGTCACTGTAGTGTGTGTCACTGTAGTGTGTGTTACTGCATTGTGTGTTACTGCAGTGTGTGTTACTGTAGTGTGTGTTACTGTAGTGTGTGTTACTGCAGTGTGTGTTACTGTAGTGTGTGTTACTGTAGTGTGTGTCACTGTAGTGTGTGTTACTGTAGTGTGTGTCACTGTAGTGTGTGTTACTGTAGTGTGTGTTACTGTAATGTGTGTTACTTTAGTGTGTGTTACTTTAGTGTGTGTTACTTTAGTGTGTGTTACTTTAGTGTGTGTTACTGCAGTGTGTGTTACTGCAGTGTGTGTTACTGTGATGTGTGTTACTGTAGTGTGTGTTACTGTAGTGTGTGTTACTGTAGTGTGTGTTACTGTAATGTGTGTTACTGCAGTGTGTGTTACTGTAGTGTGTGTTACTGTAGTGTGTGTTACTGTAGTGTGTGTCACTGTAGTGTGTGTTACTGCAGTGTGTGTTACTGTAGTGTGTGTTACTGTAGTGTGTGTTACTGTAGTGTGTGTTACTGTAGTGTGTGTCACTGTAGTGTGTGTCACTGTAGTGTGTGTCACTGTAGTGTGTGTTACTGTAGTGTGTGTTACTGTAGTGTGTGTTACTGTAGTGTGTGTTACTGCAGTGTGTGTTACTGTAGTGTGTGTCACTGTAGTGTGTGTTACTGCAGTGTGTGTTACTGTAGTGTGTGTTACTGTAGTGTGTGTTACTGTAGTGTGTGTTACTGCAGTGTTTGTTACTGTAGTGTTTGTTACTGTAGTGTGTGTTACTGTAGTGTGTGTCACTGTAGTGTGTGTTACTGTAGTGTGTGTTACTGTAGTGTGTGTTACTGCAGTGTTTGTTACTGTAGTGTTTGTTACTGTAGTGTGTGTTACTGTAGTGTGTGTTACTGCAGTGTTTGTTACTGTAGTGTTTGTTACTGTAGTGTGTGTTACTGTAGTGTGTGTTACTGTAATGTGTGTTACTGTAGTGTGTGTTACTGTAGTGTGTGTTACTGTAGTGTGTGTCACTGTAGTGTGTGTTACTGTAGTGTGTGTTACTGTAGTGTGTGTCACTGCAGTGTGCGTTACTGTAGTGTGCGTCACTGTAGTGTGTGTTACTGCAGTGTGTGTTACTGTAGTGTGTGTCACTGCAGTGTGTGTTACTGTAGTGTGTGTTACTGTAGTGTGTGTCACTGTAGTGTGTGTCACTGTAGTGTGTGTCATTGTAGTGCGTGTTACTGTAGTGTGTGTCACTGTAGTGTGTGTCACTGCAGTGTGTGCTACTGTAGTGTTTGTTACTGCAGTGTGTGTCACTGTAGTGTGTGTCACTGTAGTGTGTGTCACTGTAGTGTGTGTCACTGTAGTGTGTGTCACTGCAGTGTGTGTTACTGCAGTGTGTGTTACTGTAGTGTGTGTCACTGCAGTGTGTGTCACTGTAGTGTGTGTCACTGTAGTCGTGTGTGTCACTGTAGTGTATGTTACTGTAGTGTGTGTCACTGTAGTCGTGTGTGTCACTGTAGTGTGTGTTACTGTAGTGTCACTGTAGTGTGTGTCACTGTAGTGTGTGTTACTGTAGTGTCACTGTAGTGTGTGTCACTGTAGTGTGTGTTACTGTAGTGTGTGTTACTGTAGTGTGTGTCACTGTAGTGTGTGTCACTGTAGTGTGTGTCACTGTAGTGTGTGTCACTGTAGTGTGTGTTACTGCAGTGTGTGTTACTGTAGTGTGTGTTACTGTAGTGTGTGTCACTGTAGTGTGTGTCACTGTAGTGTGTCACTGTAGTGTGTGTTACTGCAGTGTGTGTTACTGCAGTGTGTGTTACTGTAGTGTGTGTTACTGTAGTGTGTGTTACTGCAGTGTGTGTTACTGTAGTGTGTGTTACTGTAGTGTGTGTCACTGTAGTGTGTGTTACTGTAGTGTGTGTCACTGTAGTGTGTGTTACTGTAGTGTGTGTTACTGTAATGTGTGTTACTTTAGTGTGTGTTACTTTAGTGTGTGTTACTTTAGTGTGTGTTACTTTAGTGTGTGTTACTGCAGTGTGTGTTACTGCAGTGTGTGTTACTGTGATGTGTGTTACTGTAGTGTGTGTTACTGTAGTGTGTGTTACTGTAGTGTGTGTTACTGTAATGTGTGTTACTGCAGTGTGTGTTACTGTAGTGTGTGTTACTGTAGTGTGTGTTACTGTAGTGTGTGTCACTGTAGTGTGTGTTACTGTAGTGTGTGTTACTGTAGTGTGTGTTACTGTAGTGTGTGTTACTGTAGTGTGTGTCACTGTAGTGTGTGTCACTGTAGTGTGTGTCACTGTAGTGTGTGTTACTGCAGTGTTTGTTACTGTAGTGTGTGTTACTGTAGTGTGTGTTACTGTAGTGTGTGTTACTGCAGTGTGTGTTACTGTAGTGTGTGTTACTGTAGTGTGTGTTACTGTAGTGTGTGTCACTGCAGTGTGCGTTACTGTAGTGTGCGTCACTGTAGTGTGTGTTACTGTAGTGTGTGTTACTGTAGTGTGTGTCACTGTAGTGTGTGTCACTGTAGTGTGTGTCACTGTAGTGTGTGTTACTGTAGTGTGTGTTACTGCAGTGTGTGTTACTGTAGTGTGTGTTACTGTAGTGTGTGTTACTGTAGTGTGTGTTACTGTAGTGTGTGTTACTGTAGTGTGTGTTACTGCAGTGTTTGTTACTGTAGTGTTTGTTACTTTAGTGTGTGTTACTGTAATGTGTGTTACTGTAGTGTGTGTTACTGTAGTGTGTGTTACTGTAGTGTGTGTCACTGTAGTGTGTGTTACTGTAGTGTGTGTTACTGTAGTGTGTGTCACTGCAGTGTGCGTTACTGTAGTGTGCGTCACTGTAGTGTGTGTTACTGCAGTGTGTGTTACTGTAGTGTGTGTCACTGCAGTGTGTGTTACTGTAGTGTGTGTTACTGTAGTGTGTGTCACTGTAGTGTGTGTCACTGTAGTGTGTGTCACTGTAGTGTGTGTTACTGTAGTGTGTGTCACTGCAGTGTGTGTTACTGTAGTGTGTGTTACTGCAGTGTGTGTTACTGTAGTGTGTGTTACTGTAGTGTGTGTTACTGTAGTGTGTGTTACTGCAGTGTTTGTTACTGTAGTGTTTGTTACTGTAGTGTGTGTTACTGTAGTGTGTGTCACTGTAGTGTGTGTTACTGTAGTGTGTGTTACTGTAGTGTGTGTTACTGCAGTGTTTGTTACTGTAGTGTTTGTTACTGTAGTGTGTGTTACTGTAGTGTGTGTTACTGCAGTGTTTGTTACTGTAGTGTTTGTTACTGTAGTGTGTGTTACTGTAGTGTGTGTTACTGTAATGTGTGTTACTGTAGTGTGTGTTACTGTAGTGTGTGTT